AGGGGGGGGAAAGGCCCCCCCCCCCCCGCCCCAGTTGCTTTTAAGGAGCTTTTATCGCTCGCCCCGGCCTTGAGCGGAGGCTCCTGCTCACCCAGCACCTGGCACTTTCCCCCACCAGCTAAAGGCATCTCCCTCTGCCCCCCCTCGAAGCAGTATCTACGTCCCCATTTCACTAAAACACCCGATTTGACATCTTTGCCCCCCGCTAAAACGGTCAGAGGAGACAGTTCGGTCCCTGGCCGGTGAGACAGCGAGCACTTTCGAATGACGGCACGCACAGGTTATCCCTCCGTCCAGGCTGGGTTTTTTGAATAAACAACACCAAGAGCTGCTTGCTCAGAAACATGAAAAACACACTTGCATAACCGAGCGACGGGGATGCGCACAGGGAGAAATACATCGGGCAAAGCTGCTGGTATTAAATTGCTGTCGGTGTGCAGCAGAGCAGCGTGAGGGGACAAGGCTAAGGGAGGTTTTGAGCTCCCTGCGAAAGCCTGCAGCCAGCAGCCATATCCCCAAAACAGCAATTGGGGAGGCCACGTCTGCAGGAGCCGCAAACCATCATCCTGGACCACATTGGCTTGTGGGAGATCTTCCCCTGTTAAGTGCCCCCACTAGCGCAAGAGGAGGGAGAGCTGGCTAAATCCTTCTCCTCGTAAAGGGGGAGTTTGCCAACAAGCTCTCGTTTCTGTACTTTCCAAGCAAGCGCGTTTGGGAAGGACGGGGATGAACCTACATTTTGCTCCGCAGGGATGCTGCTCGCCTACCTTTGTGGCTTCTGCCTGGCCCCGATTCGGCCACCGCCTCGGCAAGCCGCTCGAAAGCGGCCAGCCGCTGCTGGGAGTCAGCCCTTGGCCGCTTTGGGGTTGGGAGGCGGGTTTTTCCCAGCACCCAGGCCAAACCCAAAGCTGTTCCCACGACCATCCCTCTCTAAAGCACCAACGCCAGTGAGGCTTGGCAGAAGAGCGGGGAAAGATTTCCCTGGAGTACGGTCCCGTGGCTCTCGGGCTGCTCCCAAGCACCCCCAAAGCCCCAAATCTTTCAGATGCTTTCTATGAGTTTTTTGTGCCCATAGAAATAATACTTAATATATCTATTTATTACCCACGAGAAAACAAAAAGCATGACGTAAATATGCTTCGAGCTCATTCTTCAGGACTTAGTGATAGAGAGGACGTCACTGGGCAGGAGCAAAATAAGATTGGGCTTTGCCTGGCCACATAATGAAATAATAGCATCTTGCATAAGGAAGTTTTTATCCTATTATTACTTTTTACGCTGGATGTAAATTCAAACCTGCTTTGCTTTCCTGACATGATGCCCAGCCCCATACGAACACTGAGCCTGCTTTCCCCTTTAGCAATTCACCCTGCTCCCCAGCTGAGACATTTTAAAGTACCTGCAAGAGGCAGCTTTCAGCTTCAAAGGCTTTGGGTGCTTCTGCAAGGAGCCTCTGGGGAGGAAAAGCTGCTTTTTGGGGGTCTCGCAGCTGCTTTGAGCTGCCATGGAGGAGAAAAAGCTTTGAGCTCTC